GCGCTTGTGTGGTGGGGTGATCCCTGTTCTTTAAGTTGGGGCTGCCTTTCTGAGAGCCAGACCCAGCTGTTTATTGTCAACTCTTATGGTTGTTCCTATATGAGCCCTGGAACAGGAAGGTCTTTTAACCGTCAGGAGAGAAAACAGCTTTGCCACTTCACTGTGGAGAGGGACAGAAGCCCTGCTTCCAAGCTCTGTTCTTGGAAGCTTCCTAAAACTAACTTCAAATCCACTCCCTCCTGAAGTGGCAGCAAAGAGTTAATGTTCCCGTCTTGGCACTGTCTATCTTTGCCCATGAGAATTATTTTTGCCTCTGCTCAGATGGTTTGGTCGGATTGCTCTGGAGCTGGCTGTAACTATGGATTAGTACAAAGTGAAGTCAAGATATGGCAGTCATCCAGCTTATTTGATCTGTGTAGACAGCTACAGGAGAGCACTTCAGGCTTCAAAGTCCAGAAGGGATGTCTACACTGATCAAACGAACTGGGCTTTTGTCAGATCTCTCCTCTGTTCTTACAGAGCACCCGCAGCCTTTGTTCATTGTTGGTTCTGAGGCTGCAGGGGTTGTCTCCCATATAGATGCCTCCGCAGAGTTCCACTGCTGCTTACAGGGTCTGCCCTTGGCAAAAGGGTGTCATGGGAGAGGTTTTCCCCTTGTTCCAGCCTCTCTGTTCCCTTTGTCCCCTGTTCCTTAGCATCATGCTTGAACACTCCTTTCCCTGTCCAAATGCTGTCTGTGCATCTGCCATTTTACACACCTGGCTCCCTCATTAGAGTAGTATGCCCAAGAGGGCAGGGGTTGTGTCTTTGTCTTGGAATCCCCTAGTGCCCAGAACTCGGTACGTCATAAGTGCCTAACGCTTGTTAACGCTAATCAAGAGAAGTTTCTTGATTACTATAGGTTATTAAATGAATGAATGAGTGAATGAATGAATGAATGAATGAATAGTAGACTTTCACCCTTTAGTGGGAATCATAGTCACTGGGTTAACTCTTCCCATGGGTTTTTTTGTTGTTTTTTTTTTTTTTAGCTGAGCCATCCTGCCAACAGTGGCAGCTCAGCTCGGGCCAGGACTCGAACTGCTGTTGCTCAGAGCTCGCACTCTTGAGCGAGCTCTTAACCAACTGAGCCACTTGGCAGGCCCTTCCCCATGGGTATTTTTAAAAATTCAATGAATTTAACATTTTGAATAGATAACACATTCACAGTTTAGAAATAAAACATAAAAAAGTCCTCCTCCCTTCTCGTTCCCCACCTGCCAAATTTGATACCTACCCCTCCTCCAGCATGAACATTGTTATCAACTTCCTGTGAATCCTGGGGTTTCTTCATATGTACACAATTTTGTAGGTATGCATTCCTAATCCCCTTTATAATACAATTGGTAATCTACTGTAACTATTTTGCACTTAGCATTTTTTCACTCAACAATACATGTCAGGGATCTTTTCATACAG